AAACTCAAAATTTCGACCCGAAAAAAAAACGACAGTGTTACCCCTTACGTTTTTTTTCATTTTTGGGCGAAAAATTAAGTTTCTCCAATCTTCTCAAAACTCTGGATTATGATAGAGGGCTGTGAGACTTTGACCTGAGTGCAAAAATGGAGGCTCTAGACCCTTCCAGAGCTGAGATATCGAAACTCAAAATTTCGACCCGAAAAAAAAACGACAGTGTTACCCCTTACGTTTTTTTCATTTTTGGGCGAAAAATTAAGTTTCTCCAATCTTCTCAAAACTCTGGATTATGATAGAGGGCTGTGAGACTTTGACCTGAGTGCAAAAATGGAGGCTCTAGACCCTTCCAGAGCTGAGATATCGAAACTCAAAATTTCGACCCGAAAAAAAAACGACAGTGTTACCCCTTACGTTTTTTTTCATTTTTGGGCGAAAAATTAAGTTTCTCCAATCTTCTCAAAACTCTGGATTATGATAGAGGGCTGTGAGACTTTGACCTGAGTGCAAAAATGGAGGCTCTAGACCCTTCCAGAGCTGAGATATCGAAACTCAAAATTTCGACCCGAAAAAAAAACGACAGTGTTACCCCTTACGTTTTTTTTCATTTTTGGGCGAAAAATTAAGTTTCTCCAATCTTCTCAAAACTCTGGATTATGATAGAGGGCTGTGAGACTTTGACCTGAGTGCAAAAATGGAGGCTCTAGACCCTTCCAGAGCTGAGATATCGAAACTCAAAATTTCGACCCGAAAAAAAAACGACAGTGTTACCCCTTACGTTTTTTTCATTTTTGGGCGAAAAATTAAGTTTCTCCAATCTTCTCAAAACTCTGGATTATGATAGAGGGCTGTGAGACTTTGACCTGAGTGCAAAAATGGAGGCTCTAGACCCTTCCAGAGCTGAGATATCGAAACTCAAAATTTCGACCCGAAAAAAAAACGACAGTGTTACCCCTTACGTTTTTTTCATTTTTGGGCGAAAAATTAAGTTTCTCCAATCTTCTCAAAACTCTGGATTATGATAGAGGGCTGTGAGACTTTGACCTGAGTGCAAAAATGGAGGCTCTAGACCCTTCCAGAGCTGAGATATCGAAACTCAAAATTTCGACCCGAAAAAAAAACGACAGTGTTACCCCTTACGTTTTTTTTCATTTTTGGGCGAAAAATTAAGTTTCTCCAATCTTCTCAAAACTCTGGATTATGATAGAGGGCTGTGAGACTTTGACCTGAGTGCAAAAATGGAGGCTCTAGACCCTTCCAGAGCTGAGATATCGAAACTCAAAATTTCGACCCGAAAAAAAAACGACAGTGTTACCCCTTACGTTTTTTTTCATTTTTGGGCGAAAAATTAAGTTTCTCCAATCTTCTCAAAACTCTGGATTATGATAGAGGGCTGTGAGACTTTGACCTGAGTGCAAAAATGGAGGCTCTAGACCCTTCCAGAGCTGAGATATCGAATTTCAAAATTTCGACCCGAAAAAAAAACGACAGTGTTACCCCTTACGTTTTTTTCATTTTTGGGCGAAAAATTAAGTTTCTCCAATCTTCTCAAAACTCTGGATTATGATAGAGGGCTGTGAGACTTTGACCTGAGTGCAAAAATGGAGGCTCTAGACCCTTCCAGAGCTGAGATATCGAAACTCAAAATTTCGACCCGAAAAAAAAACGACAGTGTTACCCCTTACGTTTTTTTTCATTTTTGGGCGAAAAATTAAGTTTCTCCAATCTTCTCAAAACTCTGGATTATGATAGAGGGCTGTGAGACTTTGACCTGAGTGCAAAAATGGAGGCTCTAGACCCTTCCAGAGCTGAGATATCGAAACTCAAAATTTCGACCCGAAAAAAAAACGACAGTGTTACCCCTTACGTTTTTTTTCATTTTTGGGCGAAAAATTAAGTTTCTCCAATCTTCTCAAAACTCTGGATTATGATAGAGGGCTGTGAGACTTTGACCTGAGTGCAAAAATGGAGGCTCTAGACCCTTCCAGAGCTGAGATATCGAAACTCAAAATTTCGACCCGAAAAAAAAACGACAGTGTTACCCCTTACGTTTTTTTCATTTTTGGGCGAAAAATTAAGTTTCTCCAATCTTCTCAAAACTCTGGATTATGATAGAGGGCTGTGAGACTTTGACCTGAGTGCAAAAATGGAGGCTCTAGACCCTTCCAGAGCTGAGATATCGAAACTCAAAATTTCGACCCGAAAAAAAAACGACAGTGTTACCCCTTACGTTTTTTTTCATTTTTGGGCGAAAAATTAAGTTTCTCCAATCTTCTCAAAACTCTGGATTATGATAGAGGGCTGTGAGACTTTGACCTGAGTGCAAAAATGGAGGCTCTAGACCCTTCCAGAGCTGAGATATCGAAATTCAAAATTTCGACCCGAAAAAAAAACGACAGTGTTACCCCTTACGTTTTTTTTCATTTTTGGGCGAAAAATTAAGTTTCTCCAATCTTCTCAAAACTCTGGATTATGATAGAGGGCTGTGAGACTTTGACCTGAGTGCAAAAATGGAGGCTCTAGACCCTTCCAGAGCTGAGATATCGAAACTCAAAATTTCGACCCGAAAAAAAAAACGACAGTGTTACCCCTTACGTTTTTTTTCATTTTTGGGCGAAAAATTAAGTTTCTCCAATCTTCTCAAAACTCTGGATTATGATAGAGGGCTGTGAGACTTTGACCTGAGTGCAAAAATGGAGGCTCTAGACCCTTCCAGAGCTGAGATATCGAAATTCAAAATTTCGACCCGAAAAAAAAACGACAGTGTTACCCCTTACGTTTTTTTTTTTTTTGGGCGAAAAATTAAGTTTCTCCAATCTTCTCAAAACTCTGGATTATGATAGAGGGCTGTGAGACTTTGACCTGAGTGCAAAAATGGAGGCTCTAGACCCTTCCAGAGCTGAGATATCGAAACTCAAAATTTCGACCCGAAAAAAAAACGACAGTGTTACCCCTTACGTTTTTTTTTTTTTGGGCGAAAAATTAAGTTTCTCCAATCTTCTCAAAACTCTGGATTATGATAGAGGGCTGTGAGACTTTGACCTGAGTGCAAAAATGGAGGCTCTAGACCCTTCCAGAGCTGAGATATCGAAATTCAAAATTTCGACCCGAAAAAAAAACGACAGTGTTACCCCTTACGTTTTTTTTCATTTTTGGGCGAAAAATTAAGTTTCTCCAATCTTCTCAAAACTCTGGATTATGATAGAGGGCTGTGAGACTTTGACCTGAGTGCAAAAATGGAGGCTCTAGACCCTTCCAGAGCTGAGATATCGAAACTCAAAATTTCGACCCGAAAAAAAAACGACAGTGTTACCCCTTACGTTTTTTTCATTTTTGGGCGAAAAATTAAGTTTCTCCAATCTTCTCAAAACTCTGGATTATGATAGAGGGCTGTGAGACTTTGACCTGAGTGCAAAAATGGAGGCTCTAGACCCTTCCAGAGCTGAGATATCGAAACTCAAAATTTCGACCCGAAAAAAAAACGACAGTGTTACCCCTTACGTTTTTTTTCATTTTCGGGCGAAAAATTAAGTTTCTCCAATCTTCTCAAAACTCTGGATTATGATAGAGGGCTGTGAGACTTTGACCTGAGTGCAAAAATGGAGGCTCTAGACCCTTCCAGAGCTGAGATATCGAAACTCAAAATTTCGACCCGAAAAAAAAACGACAGTGTTACCCCTTTCGTTTTTTTTCATTTTTGGGCGAAAAATTAAGTTTCTCCAATCTTCTCAAAACTCTGGATTCTGATAGAGGGGCGCGAGACTTTGACCTGAGTGCAAAAATGGAGGCTCTAGACCCTTCCAGAGCTGAGATATCGAAATTCAAAATTTCGACCCGAAAAAAAAAAACGACAGTGTTACCCCTTTCGTTTTTTTTCATTTTTTGGCGAAAAATTAAGTTTCTCCAATCTTCTCAAAACTCTGGATTATGATAGAGGGCTGGGAGACTTTGACCTGGGTGCAAAAATGGAGGCTCTAGACCCTTCCAGAGCTGAGATATCGAAACTCAAAATTTCGGCCCGAAAAAAAAACGACAGTTTTTTTCGTTTTTCCCTTTCGTATTTTTTTTTTTTTCGGGCGAAAAATTTAATTTCTCCAATCTTCTCAAAACTCTGGATTCTGATAGAGGGCCATGAGACTTAGACCTGAGTGCAAAAATGGAGGCTCTAGACCCTTCCAGAGCTGAGATATCGAAACTCAAAAATTCGGCCCAAAAAAAAAAAACGACAGTGGTACCCCTTACGTTTTTTTTTTTTTCGGGCGAAAAATTAAGTTTCTCCAATCTTCCCAAAACTCTGGATTCTGATAGAGGGCCATGAGACTTAGACCTGAGTGCAAAAATGGAAGCTCTAGCCCCTTCCAGAGATGAGATATCGAAACTCAAAAATTCGGCCCGAAAAAAAAAAAACGACAGTGGTACCCCTTTCGTTTTTTTTTTTGTGTTTTTTTTGTGCGAAAAAATAAGTTTCTCCAATCTTCTTCAAACTCTGGATTCTGATAGAGGGCCATGGGACTTAGACCTGAGTGCAAAAATGGAGGCTCTATAGCGACCAAACGTCACTGGTGAGACAAACGTGCAACGGACGGACGGTCAGATTACGTTTTGGCAGGGGAAAAACTGATCAGAAAATGTAATGAAAATGTAACCGAAGTTGTAGAAATGTAGTGGAGTAGAAAGTATAATTGCTGCAAAATGTAACGAAGTAAAAGTAAAAAGTATGCACTATTTATTCTACTTAAGTAAAGTAAAGATACATGAAAAATGTACTTAAGTAAAGTTACAAAGTATTTGTACTTCGTTACATTCCACCACTACCATTAATTCATTCATTGTCTACTTTGACAAGTAAATCACTTTCGGTTTTCTCAGAACTAGAACTTAAAAAGGCCATTTATTATGTGCTCATAACTTAAACACACCCACACACCCGCTAAGATTCATTGTAAGACATTCTCAGTGTCATTATTTCTCAACCAAGATTAACACTAAATGTTTTTGCATAGGAGTGTACAAACCCATGCTGCAATGCAACCACCTGCAAACTGACAGAGGGCTCACAATGTGCAACAGGAGAATGTTGTGAAAAATGCAAGGTAAGATTCAAAGACTTGGGGGCATTTTGCTGTATCATTCATCAAATCATGAAGGTACCAAATCAACTGCGGGTCTGCAGCAGTTCTAGTTTTCCGTATTTGTCCCAAATTTGGTTAATGTAAATTACTTCATCCTAGACTGGAACATTGTGTATAGGATACTTAATAATACATGTTTCTTTCCGTGGATGGAATAAAGTCCATGCTTCATATAAAGAGATAAATAATATAGAATGTACGGTGGCCGAGAGAGCTTAACGTGTTGCAACCTAAAGAAGATGCATGCAAATAGAAAAAAAACGCGTGCATATAGAAAAAAACATCCGCAAACTAAGAAAAAAACATCCACAAATTAAGAAAAATATCTTCATCAGTTCCACAACACACGTGTGCTCCAAGTACTCACAACACAACCATACAGAAACGCGCTGCAAGTAACACAGAAACGTAAATGTTTCTGGGGAACCAAATAAGTGACGGACCCGACTGGGAAGTGCTTATTGCTCGTGAGCTTCCCTATGCCCTACTCCCTTCAAAGTGTAGACGACAGAGCTCTTCAAGTGGGACTTTGGCGTGAGCATGGCACGAGTGTGTCATTTATGTAACCGTTTGGAATACACTTGATGAAGGAAGCAACGAAAGACAACGTAATTTCCAACGTAATTATTTTTTACCTAGGATGTTCCTATGACAACGCAGCACGTTTTCCATCAGCTGTATAATGTTAGCTGTTCTGATGACATAAATATAATGATTAACAAAGCGGTTGCAAAAAAAAAAAAATTACATTGTACTTACTGCTCTGAAAGTATAATCTACGCATGTTTTTTATTCCTCCCCATCAGATTATGCCAGCCTCACATGTGTGTCGTCCAATTAATCATGACTGTGATTTGCCTGAGTCCTGCACTGGAAAATCAGCCGTGTGTCCTGAAGATGTCTTTACAGTCAATGGACTCCCTTGCAAAAATGGGAAAGGTTATTGCTACAATGGCCAGTGTCCTCAGAGAGAGGAGCAGTGTATTAAAATGTGGGGTCCAAGTAAGTTCAGCAATATATTGATGCAACACAAAAATACTGAAAAATAATCAGTGCTGAACCCCACTTGACTGTACAAACTTTTATTTTATTACAAAAATAAATAAATAAAGCTGCTGAGGTGGCTGGAGACATTTGCTACAACCAAAACACAAAAGGACAGTCCTACGCTTACTGCAAACGTTATGGCGATAAATACGTCGGATGCCAAAAACAGTAAGATTTACATCCATCTGTATATCTAGCAATAATCCTTTCACATATCATTCTGTTCAATAACTATTTTGCCCCATCTAATCAACCACCAATTTTATTTATTTATCTACAGAGATGTGATGTGTGGAAAACTGTTCTGTGTAAATGGCAACGGAAGTCCTAATTATGGACGGCTGGTAACATTCCTCAACTGTAAAGCCACATTCTACGGCAATCCTGAAGAGGATTACGGCCAAGTCGACACTGGCACCAAATGTGGGGAAGGGTTGGTAAGGATGATTTCCATATGCAAATTATGCTACACACACACACACACACATTACTTTGTAGTTCAATAGCAATACATTTCTTCAAAGGCCTCTAATATATATATATAGGTTTACCACAATTGTGACATTTAAATTATTTTAAGCATCAGGAAGCGTATTATTTATTTATTTCTATTCTTCATTCATTTATTTTGTTTATTCAGGTTTGTAACCAGAACGAGTGTGTTGACCTAGAAACGGCTTACAAAGCAACAAACTGCTCAGCCAAATGCAAAGGCCATGCGGTAGGTGAAATATTCCTTTCTTGAACATTAACTTCTCGTTTTTTTCGAGAGCTCATTGGTTTATGACTATTTCAAGTCTATTAACAAAAACTTTGCTTTACATCATTAGTTGTAACTTAGTGTGATTTAGAGGAATTAATACGTGTATATGTTACAGGTTTGTGACCACAGACTGCAGTGCAGATGTGAACCTGGATGGCTGCCACCAGATTGTGAAACATCCTCCGGAAGTGATGGTTTGTCTAAAGGTAGTAATGTTAGATACTGCATTCAAAATAGCCTCATATTCTTTTAGTTTTGAGGATCATGAATGAGATTTTTTTTTTGCACTTCTAGGTGTGATTGTAGCCATTGCTGTGGTTGTCTGTGTTCTGATTGGGATACTTCTAATCGGACTGGCCGTCTTCTTTTACAAACGCAGAAACAGTACACCACATTCATCCAGGTAAGAGTATAGTAAATAAATGCATTCACACTTGGGGAAGTCAATAAATTCATTGTATTTAATGCTGCTGTTTTCTCAGAAGCCATCCAAGGCTGCAGAAAGCTCATATAGTTGACATCCCTGACTTGAGTCAAAATAGATTGCCGACGCCAAATCAGAAGCCATCTCCGGTAACTTGCAGTCACATCTAACTTCCTTTAAACATACAAATCTCTTATAAATCCAATGAATGATGAAAGTGTGATCAGGAACTTGTGATCTTAATATTCTTAGGTAATAAAACCAACAGCACCTCCTCCACCTCCACCCTCTTTAGTCCAGTCCAGAGCTCTTCATAATGACTTCATAACTGCACGTCAGGTAACACAACATCAGTATTTAAAGGGTTGGTTCACACTGAAATGAAAATGTTCTCATATTTTATTATGACTTCAGCATTCATGCTCCACTTTTTATCAGGCAATGTAAATAGATGAGGATCAGGAGCTGTCAAGCTACAAAATGTTAAAAAGGCTTCATAAGAGTACCAATAGTCCATGTGACTTGTATATAGTATACAATATTCAACATTTACTAAAGTGCAATAGCTGCGTGTGAGAAACAGACAGTTAAATTCACTGAAAATTCTTCTTTGAAAATCTTGCTAGACAGCTTTGGTCACCATTTGCTTTTTATATTCTGCTAAAAAAACAAGGAAAACAAGGTGTCTTTTGAACTACACTGTACCTTTGACCACCCCATTCACTCACTAAAAAAAATAAAAACATTAAAAAGATGATCATCAATTAATTTAGCAAACATGTTAATTTCAAGCGAAAAATACATTTAAAAATGTGGTCTACTGATTATAATGTCTTCAGAAACAAATCTTTTTCCTCTTTATGACATTTCCCCTTGTAGGCTCTAAAACCACCTCCAAAGGTGTGATGTCTAGCACCTGTCAAACCTCAAGAAGTTGAAGCCGCACTTGGGATGGCCAATCACTCCAGACCCTGCAGAAGGGATTGCGAGTGTTCGAAAAAGACTGAGCCGAGACGTAATGAATGGCAAGATTGTCCTTGAGCCAAATAATGATTTTTAAGTCATCGTTGTTTTTAACTAAAAAAAAAAGTTTGTTTGTTTTTTTACATTTATTTATTTGTACAGTCTGTTTCTGTGTAAATGAGCCTGCTTGTGTAATGATTTTCAGACTCACATCCACTGAATGTTCAAGACACAAAATTAGAATGCTGCTTTTCTAAAGTTTATAAATAAGTCACTAACTCTCATAGATGTGATAGTTTTCTAGTTTGTATAGCAATGGTTGCCAAACAGTTGAAAACAACACTGTACTTTGTAACATACATTTTGCTACAATGCACTTTCAATATATTTTCAAATCTAAATGCTTAATTTCAAATGTTTCCATTAGTTTTGTATTTATTAAATCTGATCTGTACTGTAAAATGCAATACTACTGTAAATCTACATTGAAAAACACATTCAGGTGATTTTTTTTTAATAAATATATGACCAAACTTGAGGTCCACAGTATTTCATTTTCTTTATTCATCTTCTCAACTGATACATCTACATAATATCAAGAATTTAAGGTGGCCTCACATTACACATACTTGACAAAAGGATTGTTCATTTAAATCCCCAATTATGCTATAATTGTGCATAAACGTTTCTAAACATTCCCACAAATGGTGTCTCTGTGTCTCTGAGCCGGTGAAGGCCTAATACTCAACATTTCAGCTCTTTAACACTCAAGATGAAAGCAAACAGAAAGTTCAAACTTACTCTTCCTTTCTTTAAAACTTCAGGTTACCAGTATACTAAGACCAGCCCACACCCTGTTAAACCATTATAACAGTAGAGCTTATCCCAGATCAGCTGCTTAATCTCAGAACTTTCATTGGTATCAGTTGAAATACATGCAAATAAATGTAGCACATTTTCCAGTCCACAGACATACAGCATTTCCTGAAGTGTGTGTGTGTGTGTGTGTGTGTTCTGCAGGATCAAATCAGTGTAGTATGTAAGAAGGTTACACTGGAATCACATTTAGTCCTATTAAAAGCTGTGAGTGCATACACCTAAAGATGCGCACAACATATTTGTCATATTATTAGTAGTTTGAATGCTTTTGGAATGAAAAAGGTGACTTAAATCAGACTCATGTAAAGAACAGGTCCAGTATTTAAAAAAAGTTAAAACCTTGGTCTAAATAAAACACAAACCATTACAAAATTAAACGTCTAAAATGTTAAATACATTTCAAATGCTTCCAGAAAATGACCCGCTAAATGAGGTGGGTTGCTCATGTGCATAGCATCAGACATTCAACAACGCAAATCAGGATTAAACCTGCTTAAATACCAGATAAACGTGCTGCTCTTTTTCAAATAAAGAAGAAAAAACACTCGCATTAAAAGCTGTTCCTCTACAGTCTCTTTATCTCAACAGTAGGCGGAGACAAATCCCAACTTTTCCAAAAACCTGTTAAAACAAGCAGCCACGTTAAAAAAAAAAAAAAAAAAAAATCCCTCCCACATCCCTCACATAGTGTTACAGCTGAAACCACCAAGTCAGTTTGTGACACATTTATCAAGCTCTGTTAATGTCTCAAGCACGAACCAGATTAAATTCTGTACGAGCGGTTTCTCTTCAGAGGATGAATACTTTGCTGGAAATGATGGCCTGGTGGACATTCTTTAAAGAGACAATAAGACTTCCTGCATCAGAGTTACATATACATGTACTCTATTTACAAGGACTTGCATTTAGTGCAATATTACCTCCCCATCACACCCCCAAATGGGGTAGGTTAGAGCTCTGGCAGCCAACTCGGCACAAAAAAAAAAGACTTTGGCTTTTGAGTCGATCAAAGCAACTTCACACATCCAACATTGGCTGTTACATTTGTACATGAGCTTATAGGCATACTAACAGATTCTACTGTATATAACAAATAAAACTGGTTGCCAATCTCCTCTATCATCATGTTAAAAAGAGTGTCAGAAAACAAACGGGGGAAAGAGAGCCTCGTCTCGTCTGTTAAACGACAGCTCTAAAAAGACCGAAATAACTTCCAGCACAGATGCAGAAGTTACGTTATGTGATTGAGACAGTGCTTTCATAAGACTTGCTTTGTTGTTTATTTTTTTAGAATCAAACAACTTCTATTTAAGATCGATTGTTATGCCTCCTTGCATGTGGTGTGTCATCTGGCAGGATTCAAGTGCTGTTTTAGAAAAAAAAAAAACTCATTTAAATGCAAGTTTTTCCATGTAGAAACAGACACGTGGAACCCAAAGCAGCTAATATTTTCTTTTAGTCTGAATATTACTTGAAACGAAATAACATTTAAGCAGCTATAAAATAGTTTTCAATGAATTTATAACTTATTTCCCTTAGGTTTGCGTTGCCTTGTATCCCTTACAGACATTTTAATGCCAGCATATTCAGCCAAACCATCCCTTGCCAAATACATTTTGACATACAATATTATAAAACGGTATTAACTAGATCTCTTGATCTGTAAAAGCATCTTAAATCCATATCTCTGTCTTCGGGTTACAAAACTGTAGTCTCGGTTTAAAGGTTGACACGTTGTGATTGTATACCTGTATTTTGCACACTTTTAAATGTTCACTCATCTTTAAAATGTTGCTATCAAGTACATCTAATACATTTCATTTAATAAATAAAATCTCATGTTTGTACTTCGTTGTAAGTGATTTCTCTCTGTTTGTGGAATGATTCCTCTCCACATCCCAGGCAGTTGAGTGGGTCTGTCTCGTGGAGAACGTGGCAGAGCAAGAGAAAATGCTATGGAGGAGAGGAAGTGCAAAATCTCCCCGGCCCTTACACATTCCTGTCAGTGCCGTTTTTCTCGTTGGCAGTGTTAACTGTAGTACCGTCAGGTTGCTTGCCGTCCTTCCGAGGAGGCATCCGTTCATTTATTCGATCCAGGCCACGTGCTTCTTCGAAGTTGCGGATTTTTCGTGTAGGAGAGAAGCCTTGGATAGCTAACGGGGGAAAAGGGAAATCGAGAGAAATGAGGTGGTTAGGAGAATGTGCATGAGGATTAAGGATAACTTTCAGTGTTTAATGAGACAATTAACAAACTGCGCTAGCATATAAACAGTGGTGGAATGTAACGAAGAACAAATACTTTACTTAAGTACATTTTTCACGTATCTTTACTTTACTTAAGTAGAATAAATAGCGCATACTTTTTACTTTTACTTCGTTACATTTTGCAGCAATTATTATACTTTCTACTCCACTACATTTCTACAACTTCGGTTACATTTTCATTACATTTTCTGATCAGTTTTTCCCCTGCCAAAACGTAATCTGAACGTCCGTCCGTTGCACCTTTGTCTCACCAGTGACGTTTGGTCGCCATAGAGCCTCCATTTTTGCACTCAGGTCCAAGTCCCATGGCCCTCTATCAGAATCCAGAGTTTCAAGAAGATTGGAGAAACTTATTTTTTCGCACAAAAAAAAAAAAAAACGACAGGGGTAATACTGTCGTTTTTTTTTTTTTTTTTGGGTCGAAATTTTGAGTTTCTCCAATCTTCTTGAAACACTGGATTCTGATAGAGGGGCATGGGCCTTAGACCGGAGTGCAAAAATGGAGGCTCTAGACCCTTCCAGAGCTGAGATATTGAGATACCACGTAGCATTTATGCCATTATAAATATCTCAATATCTCAGCTCTGGAAGGGTCTAGAGCCTCCATTTTTACACTCAGGGCTAAGTCCCATGGCCCTCTATCAGAATCCAGAGTTTCAAGAAGATTGGATAAACTTAATTTTTCGCACAAAAAAAAACGACAGGGGTAACACTGTCGTTTTTTTGGGGGGGGGGTCGAAATTTTGAGTTTCTCCAATCTTCTTGAAACACTGGATTCTGATAGAGGGGCATGGGCCTTAGACCTGAGTGCAAAAATAGAGGCTCTAGATATATCAACCCGGTCACACTAAATGCGTCTCGCACGCAGTGCGTTTATAGTGCAATTTATACGCGAAAATTAGTTTTTACATGCATAGGAAACGCACCGTGTGTAATATACGTTTGGTTAGGATTATGGCAAGCCAAGAGGTTCAGAATTACACCATAAATTAATCGCGTTTACTGCCATAGTTATTAACATATAGTAAGGATAAGCATGATGTGTATATTGCCTAATTGCAAGCTTGTTTCAGAAATGGTGACATTTTTTTTCATCATTATTGAACATCATTATAGGAGTATCAGGTTGAATGAGTTAGAATTAAATGTTTTATTAATCATTAGAAAATAGACATTAAGAAAATAAATTACGCAAGTACTTTTACTTTTAATACTTAAAGTACATTTAAAATCAGGTACTTTTTACTTTTTACTTAAGTATGGTTGTCATTGTGTTACTTCTACTTTTACTAAAGTAAATATTTATCTGGTTATTTGTATTTTTACTTAAGTACTGAGATTCAGTACTTCCTCCACCACTGCATATAAAACACCTTTGGTCATTTACAGTGATCAAAAAGCCCATTCTTCTGATTAATTATTTAAAAGGTTAGAAAATGAAAATTATCTCATAATTTACTCACCTTCAAGCCATCATAGGTGTATATTACTTTATTATTTCAGCTCCTGAAATATCTTGGCTCTTCCAAGCTTTATTTTGGGAGCGAATAGTACCTTGTTTTTTGAAGCCCAAAAAAGGGCATCCATCCATCATAAAAGCATTCCATACCTCTGCAGGGGGTTAAAGCAGAACTCTTTGGTCTAATAAAACATCGGTACCAAGTCAAACGTTCTCTGAGATTTGTTTTCATGATAATCGAATGTAAAGAGTTTTATCTCTAAAAACTGTTTAGCGTATAATGGTAGTACTGGGGGCATTTACTAAGTAAAAAGAAATCGCTAGTTTATACCACTAACAAGGCTCAAAATAGCCCCATACTAACACAGTAACATAATGAGGGTCCCTACATGCAAAAAGAAGCATTGAGAACTTTGTAAGTGTACAGACCGTTTAAGAAGATACTTTATGAAGACAGTTCACTTCGTGTATTCAGACAGGAGCCATCTTTGGAAAACAGACTCGATAAGTCGATCCCTGAAAGCCGTTCAGAAGTTCGCTTAACTTCATACAGTTCAGCTCACTCAGCACGAAGTTGGTGGTTTGACTTGTCGAGACTGTTAATCAAGACGGCTCCTGTCTGTATATATGAAGTGAACTGTCTTTATAAAGTATGCTCTTATTAAACGGTCTGTACACTTACAAAGATCTCAATGCATCATTTTGCATGTATGGACCCTCATTATGTTACTGCAGGAATCAAATCTCAGTGAACGGTTGACTAGGTACCGATGTTTTATTAGACCAAAGGTTCATTTTGCGCCGGAGTTCTCCTTTAATAAAGGCATTCTGAAGCAAATGCGTTTTGTATATAAATATTTATATGTTTATAAACCATAATGACTGGCTTCCGGTAATGGTCATACATAAGTCGATTTCTGGCCAATGAGTGTAAACTGACCCAATG